AACTGCTGACCTTAAGGTTCGCAGCCCGATTCGTAACCACTACACTACCAGAGCTCCTTACCAGAGAATATATATGGATTTTAAAAATCAGCACATAAAAAGATACCTGCTCAGCAATTCTCTCTCTCCCCCCCTCCCCCCCACTTGCCCTTTATTAGACTCATCTAGCAGGATGGCCCTAGGCTCTTCACATTTCTCAGAAACCACCCACAGGGATTAGGAAGGTGGCCTCATTCTGCTAAGGTCCAGAGCCTAGCCAAGTCTTAGAAGTTGAATCAGCAACCAGAGGGCTGGGAGAGGGAAAGGCAAAGGCAGACCAGAAAGGCAGGCTGCTCAATGAAGGGCACTGATCTCAAGGGGATGCTTAGGTCTAACAATGTCTTCTGTTGTTGTTGTTAAGTGCCATGGAGTCGGTACCAACTCATAGCAACTTTATGCACAGCAGAACGAAACACTGCCCAATCCTAAATCCATCAATGCTGCCACTGTGCCAATCCATCTTGTTGGAGATCTTCCTCTTTTTCTCTGACCCTCCACCTTACCAAACATGATATCCTTCTCCAGCGACTGGTCCCTCCTGACAGTATGTCCAAAGTACGACTCCTGAGGGCACACTAAATCCTAAGGAAGGATACTCACAGGCTGGATGGAGTAGACGTGTGCTCAACAGCTCATGTCTCTATGGAAACTCTGAGGAGGGGCTTGATGTCAGGCTCAGGTTGATGGTGGAGAAGGTAAGGCTGTAGTGTCAGAAGGGCACCCCCTCCGGCCCTATAAGGAACTTCTCAAAGTTCCAGGACACATTAGAGTGGTGCACAGGGCTCCAAATGAAGAACTTGGCAACCGTCATGAGGGGAAATGGGTCTCATAGAGGTAGAGGAGCTTGTTCTTCAAGTAGGAGAAGACAGGATGCTGGTTCTGATCATTCATCTCATACTTTTGGACAAGGGTAAATGTGAGCTGGAAGCCACCACCAGGGCAGACGTACTTGAGACTGTTCAGGATTCCCTCATTCTAGCAGTTCTCCTGATGTCCAAATTGGTTGCAAGGGAAACCAAGAACCACCAGGCACCAGGGAGAACAGCACTGCAGCTTGCTGAGCTGGGTGAAGTCCCAGGGGGGTTGCCTCAGAGCGAGGCCACATTCTCAATCAGCACTGCCCTACCTCAGAATGTGTTGAATCCAGGCTGACAGCACTGAGATGGTAGAAGGATTTGGCAATGTAGGCCATGGTGAGAGCGTAGAGTCAACAATAGCAAATTTTTGTAAAATATTTGGTAACACTAAATGGTATTTTTTTTTTTTTTTT